TGGGGCAGTTGCCTGCGGTCCTCCTCTGCCTCCCCACCACCCCAGTTGTTCTCTGCATTTCCCTCTGGTGCAGGGAGGCAGGAACATCCCCAGGGTCCCAGGTCAGGGGGGTAGGAGGGAGCTGGGGGTGGGGCCGGGCTGGGTGGGCCTTGCTTCTGAGCTGCTGAGTCTTGCTGTCTTCCCTACTGCTGCTGAGTCCTACTGCCCCTGACTCCTGTCATTTTTGACAGGCAGCCAGGAGCAGATGAATATTAATTTTCTAAATTTTTTAAAGGCTCTGTGGAATGGCCTGGTCGGCCAGATCTGGCCACTGGGCTGTATTTTGCCCACCTCTGAATTAAATACTGAAATTGCAGCATTTAGCTCCCTGTAATACGACAAAACAACCTGCGAAGGGATGAAATGCCTAGTATAATAATCATGCTGGCTATGAAAATGGACATGTTTGACATGAAAATAAAATGGTGACTCTTGACATTTGTTTTTCATTCTTAAGAGTGTTTAAGAAATGATCCAGAGCTTCTAAGAAAAAAAAATCTGTGACCACCTCCTTCCACTGCTTTTCTCACATGGATAACCATCTTTTCCAGACCCCATTTCAAGAATTGTATCTTTCTTTGATAGAAACAGAGAGCCTGCTGTCTGAAAATAACCAGCAAGTTAATCTCCCATAAAAGCTTATTATTTTGATTTATTGCCTGCCTGGATGGGTGGGTGGATGGATGGATGGATATAGAGTACAGTCCCACTTCCTGAATGGATACCAGGAGTCTGAGGGGGACAGAGCTGCTAAATCTCTTGGTTCTGGGATAGTCTCAAAGTGTCCCCTCCTGTTTGGATCATTCATGTATAGAAAAAGGTCTGGCAGCCCTTGGCCACCATCCAACTTCTTAGAGCCTGAGCCATCCAGAGCCAGGTGGACTTTTGAAGAAACTTATCTAAGCAGCCTGAGAAGTTCAGTGAACACTGGTGTCCTTGATTACACCTTTCATGAAACTATATGGCAGTTATAGCAAAGAACCTGTAGGCTTTGTAGAGAAACTGCACTTGTTTTAATTTCTTTCCCATTCTTGCACATAGTTATATGCTTATGGGGGGAAATGACAAATAGATGAAAACAGATGCCCAAAGTAGGGGTGAGACCGGATCAGTGTTCAGGCCAGGTGGAGACTCCCTGTTTCCTGTATAGTACGTTACTTTTGGTGGTGCAGTAATTGACCCTGACCCAGAAGTTGTTCATGAATGCAGTTTTGGTCATGAACCTCCAGTCATGCTGGGTTCACATGGACAACACCCCTTGCTTTACAATGGGTAGCAAAGAGGATAAGAATCATTAGTAAATCAGTATTCCTTGGGAGCTGTTTGTATGACTCTTTATAGCTTTCACTTTTCTTGAAGGCAGAAATGCCCTTTTGTTCTCTGGTTTGGTTGCATATCTCACATAGACTGTGTGTATAGTTAGTTTAGATCAGCTCTTAACACACAGCTCAAAACAGGGTTGGCCATGTGCAAAATGGAGGTTCTAGTCCCTAAGGCGAGTGCAATCATAAAAGATGCTGACAAAGCAAAATGCAGAGAAATGGACACATTCTCAGCCCTGTCACAAACACGCACTTGTTTGTTTTTTGAATATTGAATGCCTATAGAATTTCTAGTAGGGGAATAAGCTTGTTTTGTTGAACCAATAAAACTGTCTTCAGAAACATTTTTGCCAAATGCCAGGGATTTTAGACAGACCACATTAAAAGTCAAGAAATTGCTGATGCATTTTTTGGAATTGATTTAAATTGGAAAATGCAGCAGGCTGTGAGGGAAACTGCATTGTGGAAAGCATAAAGTTAAATGCACTAAAGGTAAAGCAATATAAAAAATAATGAAAATAAGCCTTTTGCAAGACTTGGGAAAGTTTGACCAGTGAATGGAATGTTGCTTCTTCCGTAAATTATGAAGCTAGCTGTTTTCTCCTACCCTTTCAGATGAAGTAAACATTAGTCTTGCCACAATAGTATTCTTGCCATACCTCCAGTATGCGCTATGGCTCTCATGGTCTGTGGTCCTGAAAAAAATGCAATGATGCCCTCTGAAAGCTTGCAGACAATATGGTGGGAGGGAAGAGAGTACAATTAAAATAAATACAGTTTACATTTAGTACGTATATATTTTGTCTTGGTGTATTAAATGAAAGAATAAATAGGAAAACATTTGCTCTCAAATAAAGGACAAATTGTGAACGCCACTTTTTAAGACAAACCGAGGCCAGATTCTCTAAGACGTTAATAGACTGATTAATGCACATTTTATTTTCTGTTGCTTTCTCATCAAATGTATCCAACTGCGTAAGTTAACACCACTACCACTAACAGTTGAAACTTGTAAAGTTCATTGTGCTGTACCTCGAGATGGATGTATTGTGGCTTACTTATGACTAGAAAATATTTGTGGAGTTTCCCAGAAGAGCTATTTTGTGTTTCCTTGATGATAACACATTTTGACTTTTGAGAGAGAATAAACCTTTGAATTAACTAATGTGAAATCATTAGCAAAATATGATTTGACTAGCAGCAACTTAATCACTGGCATACCATGTTTTTAATCACAAATTCTGCTTTAATCTTCAAGTTAGACAGTGCCTTTAAACTTTTATTAAATATGGCAGAGCTTAATTCGAAGGTTTTTAATAAGTGGAAAAAAGTAACAAATGAGTATTTAAGTGTGAGCTTAAAACAATTTTCTTTAATGTGGTTATAGAGCTCAAATTTCAGTCTTTTTAATTTCTCTCTTCCTTCAGTATCTTATTTCAGAAAGTGTCCTATTATTATTGTTCTGGTTCAGTTTCTAAAATGGAAGTGTGCATGTGTGTGCCCATGTATGCACACACTCTGTCTTCTCTCTCGTGACTTTGCTCTTGTCACTGAACGGAACTCTGCTAGTGAATGCTTTTTTAAATAGTTTGTTAAATGGGGGATTGTTGGCAGTAGATTTCATTGAAGGAGTGGTCTCAGTTTCAGGGAATGGAAGTGGTTGGAATTAATTTTATAGATGACGGATGGCTTCTTGGCGTGCTGTTGGGCTCTCCCTTTCAAAATAGCGCATACTTGAAGAAGAGGGTAACCTGGATTAAAATAAATTGTAGTTAGTATAATCGTATAGCCTCTAAAATTTTAAAAATTCTACCTATTAGACTGCCTCACCCCACATAATTTTCTTAATCCATTTTGGGCAGTCCAAACAGATTCTGAAATGCCAGCCACTTAAAAATAAATCATCAAGATTCACAGCTGCATGCAGCTACCTTCTGCCTTTTATTTATCATTATGAAAGCATGTGTTTGGAGGAACAAACCTAAGCCCTCAAAACCACTGGATCAAAACCAAATGGTAATCAAGCCAAATAAACATCAGAGGGCACTTGCATTAGTGTTTAACTTGGATAATCAGGATGGATGCTATCCATCTTCCTTATAGTCTTGGCTTTTCTTGGATACTGTAATTTTTCTAAAAGAAGGGCAGAAGTTCAGACAGGGTGGCACTTAAAGGATTACTGGTTCAGAGAGGCCTGAGCAACCAACTTTGTCAGATGCTATGAATTCATATCTGACAAAATATGGTAGGTTGTTGCCTACAAAAAGCTCATGCCTCTTCAGACCTAACACAGCCAGCCACCTCTGTCAAACAAACAAACAAAAAACCCAAAAAGACAATTCAGAAGATACAGTCGCTAAAGGGTGTAAGAGGGAGGTTACTGTATTTATAACTGTGTGTATGCTGTTTTTGTGCTTTGTTGTAAGTTTCTGATTGAGAATAGCTTTGCTTTAAAATTAGCTATGCATTTTCTTTTATTGTCCTAACATAGTTAAATTTAAATAAACTAATGGAAAAAAAACAAACCCTAAACCCTGTGGATTATAACTATGTGGGGCGCCATTAGATCTATATCAGCCAAGAACATTGAGTGAATGTGTTCAACTTGTTCAGGGAAACAGTTTTTTGTTTTTGTTTTTTTTAATCATCTTCATTCCCATCCTGATCTTTCCTGTCACCTTCAAATGAGGTGTATTTGGTTTAAAATTAAAATAATCAAAAGTTTCTTAAAATACACATGCAAATTGTCCATTCCCTAAAAGTGAACAATCTGTACAGAGCTGGCAAACACACAAGCTTGATTGCTAGTACTCAGTTTGTGCCTGGCTCTTTAGCAATGATTTTGATTTTAAGTAGAAGACAATGTAGCTGTAAGTTTGTTTGTTTGTTTTTAACAAAAATATCAGTTGTTTTTATTTTAGGTGAGATTTGGTATGGCTGTAGCTAATGATAAGTTTGGATAGAATTTTTAAATTACTTTTTCCTTAGCAACAGTGTGTCACTTTTTTCTATACTTCCAGTCTAATTAATCTTGACTTCTGAAGTAGTTGAAGATATTTTGGGTTAAATCCTGGCCCCACTCTAATCAGTGATAAAAGTTCCATTGACTTCTGCAAGCAGCAGTTGTGTCTCACTGAACTCTTCAAAGAAGGCTGAACAGGAGAGGTGTCCTGCCCCTTCTGAAATTTGAGCAAACAATAAATTGGTTGCTTATGCCTCTTTTTGAAAAGTATGTAGGAGAGGAGTAAAAACTACTCACTGAAGCTGCTTTCATATTTAGTCTACATTAATAGTAGGGACAGTTTATAGTACTATAGTGAGTGTATTTCAATATTGCTTCTAGTTGCTAATGAGCACTCTGACCCTAGAGAAAAACATGGGTGGGTCTACGTACAATGTATTTTTTTTTTTATTTTTTTTTTTTTAAAGCTTTTGATGGCTAATATGACATATAATTTGGTTTGCTGTTACTTTTGTTTCTAGAGTGTGAATGGGGTGGAGTAAAATAGTCCTTTAAACCTTATGGAACTTGGTTTGTAATTCCTTTAATTTTTAGATCATGCCTTTAAAAGGTGTTTGAGTGCCAAAAATTATAATGTTGAAACACTGTAAAACAATATTTTGTTGTTGCAATTCTAGCATAATCTGTGATCATGACGACCGAAGTTGGCTCAGAAGCTGAAGTAAAGAAAGAAGCCGAGAAGCTGGAGCCAGACACCGCCAAGGGAAAGCCTGAGGAGGCCTTGGAGAGTCTAGAAAATCAAAAAACCGAAGAAACAGAAGAGACACAAGATTCTTCCTCTTCCCCAGTACCAACTAGCCAAAGCAGCCCAACTAGCCGGAAGGAGAGAGATCCGTCTGAAGGCAAGGGTATTTCTCGCTTCCTCCCCCCATGGCTTAAGAAACAGAAATCCTATAGCTTGGCAGAGCCCAAAGATGAAGCTAAGAAAAAGGCTGAGGGTGATGAACATGTTGAAGAATGTGAATGTGAGCTTCCAGAGGAGGTGGCTGAGCTGAAGGGAGAAGCAGCAGCTGAGAACCATCAGGCTAAGACAGATGACAAAGAGGAAGAAAAGCACTCTGTTAGTAGTGCTGAGACCCAGGTAGGTTCAGGGAGATGATAAATAGTTACTGGGTCAGGTACACTGCTAGTGTAACTCTTCTGTTGGTAGTGTAACTCCGCTGTAAATCTGTGACGTGTACTAGAATTATACTAGGAATGATTGGCAGACAACGTTCTTTCGGTAAATCTGATATTTTTTTATTAGACCAACTCAAATAGTTGGAAAAATTCTCCTTTGCAAGCTTTGGAGCATAAATACCCTTCATCAAGCTGAGAGAGCATCCTCAGCCTGACTAAGGGTATTTATACCCGAAAGCATCTTTAACTGGTGTCCTTTAATTTTAGCCACAATGGCCTGTAGGTTTTGAATGCTAATGCAATTTCTTACTATATTCTGAGTTCTTATACAAGTGTATTGTAATTCTGAAAAAGGAAAATGGTTTTCTCTCTTAAACTTGTACAGAAATGACAAATAAACCTGTTTTGTCAGTATCTTTTCCCAAAGGGGATAATAATAATATTTAAACTACTTATTGTGCTTCCAACTATTGTGGTTTGGATGAATAACTTCAGTGAAAAAGTTGAAAGCATAATACATGATTGGTATGTAGGAGCATGAACTTTTCTTTTGACTTGTCTAGCTCTTGTGGGATTGAGTCATCACTGTATTAAGCTGTATATTTTTTTTTTTTACAGCCAGCTAAGGAAGACAGTAAAGAGATTGAAGTAGAAAAGGTTACAGAAGAACCAGAAGAAAAGCTAGAAGAAGAAACAAGAAAAAGGGAGACCAAAGAGGTACAGACAGCTGAAATCAAAATGGAGAAAGCTCCTCAAAAAGCTCCTAAGAAGATTAAAACTGTACAGTGTAAAGTGATGCTCCTGGATGGCACAGAATACAGCTGTGACCTAGAGGTAAGGAAGGAAGCCTTATATAAAGAGATCTTTCTCTGTAGAAAGAAAGCAGGGAGTACAGTATGCTTTCATTGCAGTGTGACTTTAACAAATGCATTTTTATTTGGTAAGTCGAATGGATTCATTACAGTATCACATTCAGATTGTTATAGCTGAAGGTCAGTTAACATTTTGTATTTAACTTCTGCCTTTCAGGGCTTTTATCATTTAGCCATAATGTTCTGTGAACAGCAGTTTTAACATATATAAGATACAAAAGAAACCTTTGGGTAGTGTAACCTCTTTTAGCAACTTCAATTGCCCTGTATACAAAAAAGATTAAGGATTTTCCTTTTGTATACCTTCAACAGTACTTTGTTTTGAAACATTTTTTTGCATAAACGATCTTCATTATAGGGCCAACTTGAATTTTTTCTTTTAAATTGTTTCACAGGTATAACAATGGACTCAAAGTAGTCTGGCTACAAACAGATATCACGTTTATGTGAGTGCTTGTCCCAGGATTATCTCATTGAAAAGGGGCACTGCATTCATTTACTATACCCTGATTGAAAGGGTGATATATGTATATGCCAGTCCTGGGACTTTTTTCTGTTCTAGGACAAACACAGGCACACCTTGTGACAATATAACATCTGTTCTTAGTCTGTGTTAACTGGTTCAATTGAAATAAACATCAGTGTATGCTTAACCAAGTGATGTTTTTTTATATCAAACCCAGTGTTCCCTGTAATTTGTTTCTTCACCTCATAAATCTTCAGTTTAGATGTTTGGAAACTGTATGCTTATTTCCTGATTGCAACTGACCTTAACACTGACAAAAGCAGGACTTAGTAAGATGGAGGAAAAATCAGCTGCTCATTTTCTAATACTGAGAAATTGTTTTGGTCATTTATTGCCATATTGGGTGAAAATGGTGTAAACTGTGTAAAGCAGAAAAAAGACACTTTAGACTGAAGCTAAATAAAGCTGTGTGTGTCATTTAAAAACTCATTTTAGTCATTTTTAAGTATAATATAGATTCTGGTTTTAATGAGCTTACCTTCTTAAAAAGCAGGTCTCAGTGGATATTCAGGCTGTGTGTGTGGGGGGTGGGGGTGGGGGGCCTTGGCAGAAAAGATTCTTTGGGTAGATGTGATATCTTTTAATAGACCAACTCAATAGTTGGAAAAATTGTTCTTTGCAAGCTTTCAGGCACAAAGACCCTTATTCAGGCATCTTGGGAGTCTGTTTGTGAACTGTGAGCTCTCCTGGGTAGGATAGAAGCCAAAATACAAAATGCGGGTCAGTGAAAATGCAGGTCTGTGTGTTACTCCCCACCTCACCACAGGGGGCCTTGATCTGCGCTCCCTCTCCACAGCCCTTCCTTTCCCTTCCCCTTCCCTTCCCTTCCCCTTCCCCCTCAGGCTTACCAGCTGCAGGCAGCTCTCCACGCTGCTGGCTGTGTTCTTTGCTGCCTACATGCTGTTCTGTGGCTGTGTGCATGCATGGACATTTATTGGACAAATTATCAGCTACATCGGGATGATTTCCGATGCAGACTATTTTCTTCATATTGGTGGTGATCCGATATCGGACCGATGTATTGGTGCGCCTCTAGAATGTGCATCTTGATCAGCCTAGCCATCTAATTGAAAGGGCAAGTCCCTGAAAATCTTGGTTACAGCTGTCCTTGGAGTAAATATTAATAATTCTGTTTCATGCTGCTTGGAAACAAGTTGATAGATATCACAATATAGATTGTTTTCACCAAACTATTAGAGCTCCCATTTATGATACCTATAGAACAGCTTGCCAAGAATGTCTATATGTTTAAGCACCTAGTAACTTTACAGCAAGTGTAGGATATGGCTGTGTCCTGTGGGTCAGATAAGTGGCACAGAGTCAGTCCACAGGCTGGATCAGCCCCTGGGATCCAGCGCTGCACCCTCCCTCTCATGTGCTGGGACTGGGTCCTGGTGCTGCCGCCTTTTGGCCTTCCACACTGGGATTGGGTGCCTGATCAGTGTGCAGGGACCAGAACTCCCCATGCATCTGGAAATCTGGCATCAGGGAACTGGTGCCACTGCCCCCCTGCTGCCAAGTTTTTGGATCTGTGGGGAGCCCTGTGGACCAGATGACCGTGCTGTGGGCTGGATCTGGTATATGGGCTCAGGGTTGAGTACACCTGGTCTATACTGTGGCAGACAGACCCAAGCTGATCTGTTCCACCTACTGTTGCATCCACACTGCAGACCTAAGTGGTGAGGCTGCTTCAGGGCATCTTTCTATGATTTCTTGAGACCTGTAGTGGAGAAAACTGAAAGGCCTGTCAGTGCTGCATTCCCCTCCAGATCTCTATTATGGTTCATGAGGTCAGCTAGGTTGTTTGTGCAAACCAGGCAGATACTGCTGACAAAGAAAAAACCCTGGTTTCTAAGCATATATTTTATATATTCATCCATGGTGATATGTATACAGGGACCTTGAACTCCAGATCCTGTCTATATATATATTGCTAATACAAAATAACTACTAGTTTTCATCATAAAGGTAGTTGATATGAACCGTTCAATATGTGCATTAGAGTTAGCCTAGGACAGAGGTCCTAGGCTAATATGACCAATATGCAGCATGGGTGCCACAAGTGGCATGGGAAGCCTCTTGTGTGGCACATGGCAGACTGGGGAGAGGACAGGCAGCACAGTAGCAGATAGGGTAGGGAGCAGAAAGCAGAGCATCAGCTTAGACAGGAAGCACAGGGCAGAAAGCAGAGCAGCAGATTGTTCAGGGAGCAGAAAGCTGAGCAGCAGATTGAGTAAGGGAAAGGGACTGGACTGAGACTCAATGAGGGCTCAGGTCTAATTTTGGCACACCTGCCAAAAGGGTTGGACCCACTGACTTGGAAAATTAGAAATTGACCTGTTAGTGTTTTCCAGCTGTGTGTGTGTGTGTGTGTGTGTGTGTGTGTGTGTGTACACATTAGTGGTTCTCACCTGGGTTGCCATGGCACCCCCCCAGCATCTGCAGCCAAGTGAAACCACCCAGTGGGTCTGAAGGACAATGCAGTTTATGTAAAGGCTTTCTAGTTATCTAGATCAGTGGTCAGCAACCTTTTAAGGCTCCAGGCTGGATTGACTCAGTTTGTGTCAGAGGTGGGTGGGGAAGTCAGTATTAGGACCCAGCCACTGCCTTTCCCTGTGGCAGCAGGGAAAGGCAACCTCTGCCAAAAGCCCTGCCTCTGAATGCCATTGAAGCCCCACGTCCATAGGCCATATCTGGCCCATGGGCCACAGGTTGCCGATCCTTGATCTAGATAAACATAATGCAGGCAGGAACACCCCCTTCTGTCACAGCTGCATCCCAGTCTAGTTCTGCATGTGCTTTCTGAAAACAGAGGTGCACATGGGATAGTTCCACCTGGTGGCATTGGCACAGCAGCCTAAAGAGCTGGCCAGCTGAGTGCCACAGTTCTATGGATTTATCTCTAGGCTGTCACATTGCCATTGCTGTATTAGGTTTTATCTGATGCAGGGGTGGGCTTCTCCCTGCATTAGATTTATTTGATAAAATAGATGAGCTGAGGCAATACAACAGTGCTTCTTGACCAGGGTGCAGATGCAAGTTGTTCCCTCTCATCGGTACAGACCACATCATCGCTGGACCAAAAAATATCCATTATAACATCTGAGGTTCATTCACCTGCACCTCTACCAACATCATACACCATCACTTGCTTACAATGCCCCTTGACTGTCTACGCTAGATAAATGGGTCAGCCCCTAGATGAAAGAATGAGAGAACACTGATTTGACATTGAGTTTAAAACCATATCCAAACCTGTGGCAGAACACCTTAATTTCCTTGGACATTCTATCACTGACCTTATACAGCAGAACTTTAAAAGGCAATTTGAATGTGAAATTGTGCCAAAGGAATAATTTGCAAACTGGATTGTGTGAAGTATGGTCTAAATGGGGACCTAAGTATTCTTGTCCCATTATTTGAATTGGCTTTTGTGGCCCCTTTGTATGGGTTTATAACTTGTTTGCCTTGTCAGCACCCTCTTCTTCCTTTCCCCTTTTCCTTTCTCCCTTCCCATGAAAGCATCTCTGATTCAGTTATTCTCTAAGGTGCACCTCTACCTCTGTCTTGTGCTAGGGTCTCTCTTGGGCATGGAGTACATGGAAACTCCTTCCTTTGGCCAGCCAGTCAGCAGCATCAGCACTGCTGCATGGCCAGGCAGGGACTGAGTTTCCACATGCTGTGTTGTGGGACAGGGGAGCCTGAGCAGCATCCGACAGTATGGGGTAGGGTGGGGAGGGGGGAAAGGGACAGAGATGGGGCGGGGGTGGAATGAGGAGAAGGTTAGAGGCTATGGGGAGTTGGGAGGATGCAGATGGCAGGGGGAGCAAGAAGGCTGCAGGGGGATAAAGTGGACAGGAAAGGGTAAGGGGGCTACCTAACCCCTGCCCCCCAGCCACTGCTTTCCCTGCTTTAGCAGTGGGGGAGAGGGTATTCAAGACAACCCTCTAATACTTAGATTTTATACCTGGAAAATTATAACAAGCTGATTAAATTTTCTATATATAGAATCTAATTATTGGGGGGTCATATTATATTCAAGTAAATATGATATGTTTCTAAGTCCATAATAGTCATAGGGAGGTGCTAGGAGTCTAAAAAGGATGAGAACCACTGGTATATACCACTGGTACAGCCTGATTTATAAAGAACCACAGTGGGATCCGGAAAAAGTTTATTAAAAGAGGATGACCATAGGGTTACTCAGTTTGCTGGGGCAAAGTTCAATTTGAAAAAACCTGTTCCTGCTTTTTGCATTATTTAAAATCAGGTATTTGTTGTATGCACTAGCCTTGTTAGAATATAGATTTACTATCAGACTACTGTATAGACAGTACTTTTCACCAAGGTTGACTTTTTGGAAAACAGAATGGTAAACTCTACTTACACTGGGTACTTTCTGCTTCCCTAGAGATCCTATGAAGCTCTTAAAGAGT